ATTATTCATTTCAAATCAAATGAAATTTAGAAGAGTTATAATTGAAGGGATGAATGATAATCAAATGAAATTGAGAAAAGGCATAATTGATGGAATGGATGATGAAACGTATTGGTGGGAATACTATGTTTGTTCGAAAATATTATTTGATCAACAATTCAAACCGTTATTTAAGAGTATACGAAAATTAGATATTGAAGGAGTTGAAGAACAAGAAGTTGAAGAAATGATCAATGCATGGAAAGATTTTGTGAGTTTATTATTGTATCAAGTTGTATTTGATTTTGTTTTAATCAAGTTATTAATTACCTAACAATTGTATATTAATTTAGTCAACATTAAAAACCTTAAAAGTTCAGATAAACAAACATCTTTCAACCATCGTTTCTAATACACCATTTCTTAGAAAAATTTATATAAATAAAGGAGACATTCATTTTCTTCTTCCTCTTTTAGCCTCACCAATTCCTTCAAGAACGTTAACATCTATAACATTACACAATGTTAAATTTGATAAATCAGATCAATGGGAACTTTTATCCTCCTTATACAATCTTGAAAAGCTAAAGTTAATCGTTTGTTGGATTCACCCAGATGTAGATTCTGATGCTAGACAAGATATGATATCTAAGGTTACAAATATTAGATTTAAGAAATTGAAGTTATTCGTTTGTGCAAATGAAAATGATAACGGAATGACTATTGAAGATGAAAGTAAGACATTATTATTGCAATGGGGAGTATCACAACATGCTTTAGTGGTCAGTGAAAATTTTGAAGATAGCCGAGTTAGAGTTTTTCATGAATCATTGGAACGAGGTATGTATTGATTAATCGAAATATGATTTACTATTTTTGCAAGAAAATAATACTGATATTAATACTAATAAATTAATGAAAAGTTAATCTTGTGGGAGTCGAAGGTGTAAGAGCTAAACGTAACCTTTATCAAAATTATATGAAACTTGTTAAAAAAAGGCCCAAGAGTTTATGATAGTAGAGAAAAAAAAAATTTATTGGCCGTCATAAATAATAGCTTTAAATAATATTAAGTAGTTTGTGAAATATTGTACAATAAAGGCTACACAACTAATGCTCGATGTCGTATTATATGTGTACGTACGTACGTATACGTTTACCATCGATCTACCAAACTTTAACATAACAGGCAATTTATTATTTTTCAATGAATAACGTTTATAAAACGTTAATAAAATAATAAAGATAATCAGATAGATATATTTTTATAAATATCTTACTCTTATTACTATAAACACTTTTAGAATGCAACAGAATAACTGATAACTATGAGATTTAAATGCTTTTTTTACTTAATACTGATATTATTTTGTGTCAATCTTTCATTCGCACAAAATGTTGCTTATTTTGAAGTACCAAATCAAAAAGAGCAAAAAACTGTAGCAATCATTGGTATGTAATTCACATGAGTGTCGCCAAGTGAAAACCAGGATGTATGAATAGATTTGACCCTCCATAAATGAATGTTGTCTGGGAAAAATGCACTTATAAAAAATATGTATATATGGAGAGTGATTTAGTCTCAACTAAATATAATGTTACATACATTACATTAGACCGATCAAACGATGCGCCCTTTAAAGGGTGAAAGTCACGAGGATGTGACTTCCCTTATGGTGGGTGCCGGCTGATTGTATAGAATAATATTTATTTTTCTAAGAAATGGTGTATTAGAAACGATGGTTGAAAGATGTTTGTTTATCTGAACT